CGCGCTGTTCGTGGCCCGTTTGTTAGGGTACTGCTTCGGCATTCGCCTGGTGTTGATCGGAGAGACCACGGAATACTACTGATCAGAGCATAGTCTAGGCTATCCAGGACGAGCCGCGCCTCTATCGTTCGGCCAACATGTTGTGGTCTTCCTCAGAGAGTACAGAGATTGACCACAACAGGTTTCGGCCAAAGGTCATCCACTATGACAGGGACTCGGCTCATCCCGGATAGCCAAGAAGATGCAAATTCAGGCCGTGGAAGCCTACGCAACCATACCGACCAGATCAGTCGGACCCCTTCTCCAGGCAGCGACAGAACACGACCTATCTATCTGGCTAGAGTCGAAAAACCTGTCACCGTCGGGACTCCAGTGACATCAGCGGATGCCCTGAGCCACTTATCTCGGTTTCTTGGAAGAGGAACAGTTGAACCGCAAATATGTTTATGGTTTTTGGATGTCTTATGGTGTTTTTTTTATTAATGACCACTGTTACCAATAACCAGAGTAAGGCTTTGTTGTTTGGAAATTCCTCAGAACTTTTAATTTGTAAATTAAAGATTCTCCGTCGATTTGTCAAACGGAAAATAATTTAAACGTTTATTACTATCCAAAAATATAAGGTATAATTGGTGGTATGATAAAATACATGTCTCAAATCCATTTACGAGAAAAAGGCATCATAAAATTTTGTAGAAATGTTTAACTTTTCGTAAAACGTGTGAATAGCCAAGTGATCTCTGTGACATAATAGGCATTTAAGGCGTTGACGCGTTGGTGACCGCCACTGAGCCAGCCGTGCTTCGTTTAAGGACAGAACTGCGGTCGGCGGTTCCCATAAGTAGGTCGCGATAAGACGGGTGGCGAGAAGAACTTATTTCTGACCAGATATTTTGCATTTGGACTCAATTATTTTCCTCAGAATAATTAATGATGCTTCCTTCTACATCAGATGTACTCATTTGACATATTCGGTAATTTGACAGGTAATATTCACATTATCCAAAGTAGTGGTGCAACAGCAAATACTTTCTACTTCGTTATTTCTAACTGCTCCGGTATATTATATTACTACATGAACCTGCAAAAGTATTTTTAACATACCGAGCGCGAAATACGGTCTCTTGAGCTTGTTTTCCGTGTGCGAAACACCCGTAACGACTCGCAATTGTCTTTCGTCTTGACGATGTATTTATTTATTGTTTATAAACAATAGCGATACGACACCGACTGGAATCCATTTATTTTTGTAGGAGTAAGGTATTTCTAGTTATTTGATGCTTAATTTATATTCCTTTCCTTCGAGCATTGCGTTTCGCTCACGGCATGTTAAAACATACACGGGCGCGAGGTGAGTACACTTCTTCGAGTGAGCTCGCCGTGTGCCTCACCCCTGGCCATGAGCCATGGAAACTGACGCTTAAAATGTAATTGTCTCACCACAATATTTCATACTCCCGATTTTCTACACTTCATAGAGACTAACGAAAATCCACTTAAACTATGTTTTACGCGTTCCCCGTTTAATCCATAGAAAACTAGTGGTGATATAACGGCATATACTTTCTCTCAATATTGTAAATGGTCATGTAATATAATAATGTTACAAATTTCTGTCTTGCACCACAGCTACCATTTCAAAAATTATTAAGCAAATAAAGCGCAAAAATACATATATTTAAAAAAATTCAAATGTTTAAATTAAACCTGCTCCCTTCCATTGAATTAAGTGTATTCACGTTCTGCATAAATGTGCCAACGATGCCCGATGCGTATTTTAGCCGAAAATAAAATCATTACTTATAACAGCCTCGACGTCACTACCGTCTTCTGTTACCAGTGCGGTGTTGTCAAAGCATCAATGTCCGCTAGTTTCAACGAATATATTATTGTTATATTCATCAAAACTACTCGATTTTACACCAATAACACGCCATTTACACACTTTACCATTCAAAGTAAAATGATCAATTTTTTACATTTAAATCAATTAAATGACGCAATTTCAAATAGATTGGATGCTTAAATAGTAGTAAACGTAATATATTTTTTAAGATTCAAATGACTGCTTCCACGCACTTCTCAAATTACTATCACAGACTGACGCCACCTCAAAGGAAGCGCGGGAATTGGAATTTACCATTTCGAATTTTTTCCAATTTTTGATAATACATAAAGTGCGCCTAAAATAGGACAAGCGGCACTATTCTACATACGTGAAAAAAATTAGAAAAAAAACGGAGCTATTTCTAAGAAAATAATAAGGTATGTGATGGTAATATGGCCACGTTAAGTGATTCAAATTTTTCTATTTATATATTTCAACATTTGGGCAAATTAACAGCATCATGATGAAATTTAACACTTTTGCTTCAAGTTGGAATAGCTATATCATAAAAAAGTGATTCAGGAATATATTGTGATTTTAGTTTACAAAAACATTATAATTTGAAGGTAATAAGCCGACTTGCAGGTTTTATGGCTGTTGCCAAATTAACTTGTTTCTGGCAGCATGACTATGGACCTAGGATAGCTATGCTAATATAAATTACACTCTTACAGACTAATCTTACAAAAATCCGGTCTGAAATAAATCATTTTTTAAATAGCGCGAGAGTTTATAAGAAGTGTATAAGAAGTTATAAGGATGGAGCGTCTTCAGCGCGTTCTTGACGATAAAAGCTGCAGAGTGCGAATGCGCGAATCATCAATTCTGGTAGGATACGCACATCTTACGCCCTCTCAGACTTTATGCTAACACAATCAATCAGAAATAGTTTCAACTAACACCATACGTCTATTTGGCCAAATAACCTTCACTGGCCATATTTGCATCACTTATCTTAGATTATAATTTAAAATTTGCTTATCTTCGACACAAAATTACGCAAAAATACTAATATTTTGTCTATAAATGTAATAAATATTATACAAATTATTACATTATGACTTTTCATTTGTAATTAAAAGTAAATTAAATGTATTTTTTATATTATCCAATATTGTGGATTGGAGATTATGTTCGATTGCAAACATTGATCTGTTGTTGAAAAGAATGTAAAAGTTTTCTGTATAGCATCCAGTATTATAAATTGTAACATTTTTCTTTAAATCAGAGGGCTGATGGCTAGAAGATGATAGCCAAAACGTTACCAATTTAAATTTTTAGGATTTGAAACGATAAAAAAAAAGAAATCTGAATGACTTAAATTTAAAAACGATTTTTTTGAAAATATAGACATTCATGCAAAGAAGAAGGAAATCTTTAATTAAATCTCCGGTAACCCTGTAGTAATGCTGTTCGAATCTTTTTGTAAATTAACAAATATTTCAAATATTTATTGTCGTCTACAGAATTACATTATTTTGATGGCCAGAACCATAGTAATAGTATATACAATGTATACGTGTTAAACGAGTAAAAACAACTGGACCGTTAAGGACTGCATAACTATATTTCCCACTGAATTCTGGAAGTCGTGCACAGATAATGAAGTTGCATTTATGTTCAGAAATAAAACAAGGGTCCATCTCAGCATTTGTTCACTGGATCAGGGAAATTGGACAAATACGTGATCGAGTTGGGCGTCATTTACCTAGAGGATAAATATTAATTTCCTTTTTGATGCTAATTAATTGTATAGAAAGAGTTATGCAGCAGAACATATTTTACTCGAGGCTTAAACTGTGTATCAATTTTAATCGTTAATGTCATTTGGCAAAGCGTTGTAAAATAATATACATGTATTGTATGTGAAATGTTTGTAGTGAACTATTGCTAAACCTGTTGTAGACATCGGCGTTTGCTGAAAATATATTCCCGCCCTTAAGTCATTTTTTGACAGACGCCATTGATTCGTAAATCAAGAGACCAGGTAATGGTAAAATTCCAGGTTAATAAATACAATAATCACATGGGTGGTATTTGCTTATTATTTGCTCAATTATTTCTTTGTAATCTAAAATCTGAAAGCTAAAACATGTATTTCCTCAGAATATTTTACCTATAACATTCTCGAAATATACACAAAAGCAGTATGAAGTCTGACTGAATTTGCAATAATTCTGTCCGCATAGCTTAATGATCAAAATTCTGTGTTCAATTCATTTAAATGACCGTTTCATTTGCGGTTTCACTGAATTGAAACACCTAAAAAGTTTGTTACCTCAATTCAATGGTACACCGTTCATTTCCAATGGAGTATAGAATTGTTTACTTGAAATGGAAAGCTGCATTGAAAGCGTGTTCTTTTCATTTAATATTGTAAAGAATATTTTATCATCTGCCGGGATTCGTATCTGTAAACGACTTCCAGAATTCAGTGGGAAATATAGTTATTCAGATGATCGTTATTCTCGTGGCAGAAGTATATTGTTCCACCAAGGGCAGGATGAAGGACGCCCCCTCCCCCCCCCGATCTGGACGGTTTCGGGTTAGTCGCGAGTCGCGTAGAAGTATGGCGCAAGTTCCGGATAGGTCCAGCCGGGCGCCAGCCAGGTATAAATTCGCCGCTGCCGGCGGACTCTAGCAGTATGCAGTCAGTCAGTCTGAAGTGGAAGCAGAGCAATGAAGTGTGCATTGCGGTGAACAGTAGGTGAATAGCAGTGCAGACGACCCTGAACAGCGCCGTGAACTGTAGCCAGCGCAGTGAACTGTGGTCAGTGCATCGGACAGTGCGATAGTGTAGAAGTGAACAGTGTAAATAAACATTTAAAAGAAGTGAACAGTGTAAATAAATAATCAAGAGAAGTGAGTCGTCTGTAAGGAAAATAACGTGTTCGCGAACATCAATAGCCAATCAATCAATCCATATTGGAGTGAAGAACACAAGGATTGTGCAACCTATATGTAAATAAATCAAGGGGTTTAGTGTATCATTAATAAACAAAATAAACGTCTTTTTTAATATTACCTACGTTTTAATTCACCACCAAGAAACGTTACAATATTAATTTGTGATTACGGAACAAGTCTGAAACATGTGTTATTGAATACTCACTTGGCCCGCAGCGCTAGCTGTCGGTCGTTGGGGCACACCCAGCGGTCCTTGGGCGCGCTGCCGAAATCCACCATGGCGCCGCCCTGAAACGAGAGATGGCCATTCGTGCACTCACTCATTAGCTCAGGGATGTCCAACCTGCAAGGTCTCAAGGGCCAATACTAAATCCTTTAATGATTGTTCAATTTCACCCTTGAGTTCAGAAAAGACATATTCAGCTATTGTGGTATTTACATAATAATACAATAAATATGCATTTAGTATTAGGTGTTTATTATTCCAAAGGTTTGAAGGATCTTTTTGTTCTCATCATCAGGCTATAAAAAAAGAATATTTACATTTGACAATGGGTTAATATCAAAATAAGCACATTGAATTATAGAACAAAATTTATTAAAAATATAGACAAGAAATACATTAAATTGTAGACTTATAATTATCCAATATAAGTATATGGAGCATACCTTCTACAACTATCAAGTATATCATAATAATCTATCCGTAATGCTCTTTTATCTCTCATTTGCACCAAGGCACCAACGTATGGGAGCACGCCATGTTTGTGTTTATAAAAATCGCGCCATGTGGCATCTATTCCATGGAGTTGTGCATTCCAGGCGTGGAGCGTGCAAGGAGTGGGAAGGGGAGGGGTAGGGGGATGAGATCCTAAGACTAGTAGTTTTCCCCCTACACACGCTAGCCTGCGTGGCAGCGAGGGGCTGAACGGTCCCGTAGTCCCGTAAGTGTAGTGCATGTTTGCCTCGTTTTAGCAGCACAAGTTCGTATCTCTCACACCGTTGGTGTGTTTTTATATTACCGGTGATCTGTGTACAGTACATCATGCCGTGCTTTCAAGTTGTGAGTATAAATGCTTCAAGTGACTTCCAAGGAAGTTTTGCAAGAACTCAAAACTGTTCTGTGAAAATGAGTTCAAAATTGCTCATTTCCAGAAAACGCTCAAACGAAATTTTCTTAAAAAGCTATCCCAGATTTTTCAACGAAAATTTGCACATAGGATCAGGAAAATATTCTTCTAAATTATCCTATGTTCTTAACACCATATATGATTAAGGGACCAAGAAATTGAGAAAATGTGAAATGTCCTCAATCGATGGCAGCTGTGGCGAGGGTGGGGCTAAACCGAAAAAGTATCCAAGACCAAAGAGATTAGAAAACTAACTACTACGAGAAAGTTCGTGTGAGAACTGCTGAGAGGGACGAAAGAGCTGTGGTGTTGGAAGTGAAAAGGCACATTATTAGCGATACAAATACTGAATTCATCTTTTTAAAATAATATTTCCTTCGTTCATTGGTGTATGTGAAAACAGTAAAAACAGACTGGTATTAGAGAGACATAAACCCTGTTTGTGGAGTAAAGTAAAATAGAATCAGTTGAGCATTTTCTCTGGCAATGTCGGGAGAAACTCCGGCACCTAACGTACTGTACTGAAGGGACTAATGACCATAGCCGTTGTCGTGCCCGGAAACTTCAATGAAACAAAACACTCTCTAGTATTTCTCAACAATGCTGCCCCCCCCAACAACATTTGTCGCTGTCGTTCATCGTAGCTTCCCGTGCGTGAGCAGGCTGAGCCCCCGAGCGTGTGTTTGTTAGCCAAGCAATTTCACGATGCGAGCATAAAAAAGCCATCGGTTAATACACTAACAGCGACCGCGACACTTTATAGCAATGGATTTTTGGGTTGCACGAGTAACTTCTGAACTCCCAATAAAAGTTGGCTCCATTTCCCGAAAATAAAGTGCGAAGCCCACGCCCCGCAGCCGTATCTTGCGCAGCGGAGAGGAATAAAACGGTCGTGAAAATGCTGAGGCGGCGCGCGTTAGCCGGCTTGCAGCGTCGCACACTGGTTCCAGCGACCAAACACCTCACCATAATTACAAGCTACGTAAAAAAGGGTAAATTAAAGTTTTGGGAGGCATTGGTTACGAATTTGATGTCAAAATTGGAAAATCCAAAATAGCTCACCCAATATGGCGGATTTAATATTTTAAAATATAGAAGATTTCAGTGAAACTGTGTATTTAAGTATTTTAGGAGTTGCTAATTAAGAATTTGATGTCAAAATTTGAAAATTCAAAACGGATCGAGTAGTTAAAAATTAAGCGGACTCGTGTGAAACTGGATATTTAAGAATTTTCAGAGTTGCTGATTACAAATTTTATTCAAAATTTGAAAATGCAAAATCACAGATCCAAAACGGTTTAGCGAATATCTGAAAAATGAACGCTGAAACGTCTGAAAATATGTAGTAAAGTTTTAGGTGCGCAAATTTGCTGCAAGTTTAAATGGCAATGTTTATTCATTGGACGTAATGATTATTAAAAATGTTCATTTTCCGTTATCAAAGATACACGAAACGCCATGCGACGTGCAGCAGGCCGCAGGGGGGCGGCGCGGGCCGTGGCTTACGGGGCCAGTTACGCACTCCACTAGTTAAATGATGATAAAACAAACAGGCAAAGTCATGCAGCTTCAATTTAGCATCCAGTTGGGGCTTTTAGACAAACTTAATTTCAAAGCGGTACAAAAGTTACAGACTTCAATATGTAAAAAGACGTACGTGGAAAAGGTTACGATACACACGCATTGCTCGTCAAAATGTAGGGGAAGAAAACTTGTCAGATATTTTAAGTTACCTTCTGATACGAAGATCCATTCGGCGACATAGAAAAGTTCAAGCAAAAATATTTAAAAAACGACGTAAATTTTCTTCACGTTCTCGCGTATTTTTCGACGTACAGATACTGCCAACTTCACCGTCTGATATGAGAAGGAAATAAGGTTGGAAGTTCTCTGTCACGCTGTAATAGGATTGGTCAAGGTCTGCTATTTGAAAGGACAGTCCTCCATTGACGTCAATTGTCATCTCGTCCTCCATTTTGTTTGAAATGTTCTCCTTATTATCATTTGTTGTCATTTTTTTACCATATGACTAACATCTGGTACGTTCAACCGTTTATAGTTTAATTTAGAATATAACACATGAATAGCTTTTTTTTTCTGGGCGCTGACACACGCGTGCATGACAGTGTCTCTGTCTAGCGAATAAAATAAAAACAGATGCTCAAATCATCCTCATCTCCATTTTGTAAAAGAATCTTTTCTCTTGAATCGCAAATAGAGAGAAGAAAGAAATAGAGCTGATGTTACTCTAAATTAAATATTTATAAAAATAAATGTGTTGATGCGGTTTTTTGTTTTTGTTGTTTTTTGCTTATCGGCTGTCCGTTTTTTACATTAACAAGTTGTTCGCAACCCTACGCTGGAATACAATGTACCATCGACATCTGTACCCAATTTGATGGGACTAGCCTCTCAGCACGAAGTTCGATCTTTTGAATTATGGCCAGCTCTTTGGTCGGTTGGAAGCAGTGTGCAACGCCTCGTTCTGTGCCCATTGGTGGAAAGCTGTCGATTGGATTTGCAGAGCGAGTGGGTGGAGGGGACCTAACGAAATAGGAGAAACGCGATTCCGTGCATGTGGCATTCACTCGCCAAACTGCAGTAATGAAAAAGTTCATACTGACTCGTTTGATCTTTTGTTTCGGATTTTACTACCTTACTTGTTATGTGCAACCCCAATACTACTTAAATAGTCTGGATGGTACTCATGCGCTCAGACGTTTGAGGGGCAATAACTGCCATTTCGGGCTTCTTTGTCGACAGTATCTGACAGGGATTGTTCTATTTCATGTTCACTTTACAGTAAAAATTGGACCGCCGTGTATGTTAACGAAATATCAAAATTGTCTTACGCGGTTTATCTAGTTTGATGTGATTTAATACAAAATAGGACGACAACGACAAAGTTCTAATGTTTATTTACATGATATAACATAGTTTTTACAATTTTAATCTCTCAGTTTAGAATATGTATCGAAACGCAGAAACAAAATAAAATATTCAATCATTCCCCTCGTTTTCCACATTCAGTAAAATTATAAATGAGCTTGAGAACTACAAACAGGATTCTAAATATAGGGAAATTCACCAAGACTTACCAAGTGTAAAAATATTTAATTAGATTGAATAAATTAATTTTTCAAACTAGTAGACATGTATTTGTAAGTTATTATATTTTAATAATCGTTTTTAGCTCGGCGAAGAAAAGAAAGACTTCATGTCGTTGAAACTCAGTTTTATTATCAAAATAAAAAAAAATCAACGCAAACATTTTCATTATTTTTTAAATTTATTTTTAGAATATGTAAAAAAGTCAATTTTTTAAGTGTTAAATTTTTTGCGTTGTTTGGGGGTGAAAAGAAAACAGAAAAAATATTAAGACACTAACAAATTGCGATGGAAAAATGTCCCACTTGTTATGGGATATAATATAGTATTAACGGAACATTTAAAGAATTTATAATTAAATGAATATATATTTATTGCTACATATAGAATGTATATTTATTGTTACATCTACTCATAGCAGTTAGAATTTTATCTAGAAATGTAGGTTCTTACACTTTGTGAGAAACATGTACACCTTTGACAAATTGACTATTTGAAAAAGGTAGGTAATAAACACTCCTCAGTTTTGAAATTTCCAATGTCACACGCTGCTTCTTCTTTTGTGTGAAAAGTTAGTGTTTGTAAAATTTTTAGAACAAACCACCTCGAAAGTGAAAGATTACGTATTTTGGGGATTTAGGTTCGAAAAAACGCACTTTTGAATTCGGAGAAAAAATATTGATACACAATGCGAATAATAAGGGATTCAACGCAAAAGCCCTTTTCTTTGAACTCTTTGCTATTAGGAAAAATACTTTTTTGATTGTATTTTCATGTGAGATTTCTATTTTTTTAAGCTAATCCAAATTGCTCAAACATTTGAAACATTTTGGTTAGAAATAAAAAACAAACAAAATGCCAATCATATGTACTAAATATGATGGAGTAACAATTTTTTGCATCAAACTGAACAACTCAAATCAGTTTTAGACGAATTGGAAGAGGTAATGTTTTTTCGGCTGATTTCGCGTGGAATTATCCATACATACAATTTATTTCTCTACAAAAT